CGGTGCACACAAACCCTGGAACTAATCTCAGGCAAGAGAAAGAGGGAGGTATAAATTGGCATGTTAAGCAGGGAGAAATAAGGGTGATTAGAAGAGGGTGCATCTGCTCACTTTATTTAAAACAGTTCAGTAGAGGAGAGTGTCAGGCAGCCGGCCATCCCAGATATACATCCAAATTGAGGCATGCTGTGATGCACACACAGAAGGACAATAAGATAAAAACACAGTTATTTTTGTCTTTTATTTGTTTATTCTCAAACTCTGTTGAAGAATATTTTGTTCACTGCAATTTTAAGTCAATAAAAATATCTTATTAGCAAACAGGCTATATGCTTAAAGTTTTACTCCTTCAAATCTAAATAATTAACTAATTCATGTATATATATTGCATAAGCCTAGATGGCCACTAGTTTGTCTGCTTTTGTAGTTCTCCTTCTATGAGAAAAATTCAAAGACTAAATAAAGGATTATTGCCTGCTATTTCTACGATTATGCTAAATGTTTTATTTATCTAATTACTTTTTTATGAATGAAATCAATTTTTTTACTTTTTTGAGAGTCAGGAGAGACACTATGTAAACGTTGCCATAATTGCTGAATGTGGATATTATGTATAAATATAAAAAGCAATCCACAGCAATGTCTCAATCAATACGGGATAGTAATTCAGCTCCTCATTCATCTCCATTTTTCATGTGCTCTACCTGTTAGTGTCATGATCTCATGTTTCCTAAGCTGTGTTTACCTCAATGTCAGGTAATCCACAGATTCTGACACCACCCAAAGGTGACTTTTCCACTGAAACAAAGCATCTTTAAACAAACCCATGCACGCCCTCAGGGCTTCTGACACAGAATGATCTCTGTGGAATCGCCTGTTGCATAAGGCAAACACTCCCTGATCAACAAAAAGAGCCCAATAAATACTTCCAGGTTCTCGGTTTCCTTCTGGATGAAAAGAAGACCTGACATCTTTTGTCTGCTCCTTAGTTTCTGGCAGTGAATTCATCTGAGAGAAGGGCGGGGTCGATCTGCAGCTACCTGTGTCTGTGTGTGACTCACAAGTTTCACAACAATCATGATGTTAGCATGTCAACAGATCTTAACCAGTGATGAGAGCTGATCTTAAAATAGAAAAAGGAGTAAAAGGAGCAGAAGTCCTGGAGTTCAAATGCTGGATAACCAGTCTGAGAGTGGAAAGTCACTGGATGCGTGTTCCCACTGAATATTACATGAGGAATTCTCAGCAGATCACATGGCCACTGGTGGAAGTCCTCTGAATGACACTCATTTCACAGCGACATTAACAGATTCCTGCCTAAATATTGTAAATATTCCATAGGATTGTTAGATCTGTGCCAGGTTCCAATGTTTTCATGCACTTCTGGGTTTGAAATAGCAGTAAAATTTGAAACCCGAACATCTTGTTTCTCCACATCTCAACTGGTCGTTATTCGCACCTTTAGCAGCGGCATGGAATTACTGCTACTTGTTTAACTAAATCTCTGCTGCAGTAAATGCAGAGCCTCATGAGATAAAGCAACACACCGACTTCAGTTTACTTCAATATCAGAAGGGGCTTTCATGTAGCGTTACCTTCTGGAGAAAATATGTGAAAAAGAAGGATAGAAAATGTCTTAATTAGAATTAAAGTATAAAGATTAAATTGCTGCCTAATCATTGGCTATGACAAGTTTATCACTGACATGGATATTATAATAGTTTTGGCCTTTAATACTGCAATGAATTATCCATGGTCCTTGGTCAAATTAGACCTAAAAAAAAACAAAAAAAAACAAAGGCTTAAAGAAAAACACAAGTACCCACATATAAACCTGGCTAAATCAGGTTTAGCAAGTTGCAGAGAAACCAAACAAGTCTTTAACATAGTTTTGATTGCAGATTTAGCCACTTATCTTTGAACTACATTTAAGCTGGTTGTTGCTGGCAAAGATCTGGTTTTTCCAACATACTATGAACTGGTTAGAGGTACTATCTAAATGCATGCATTAAGCATTACACATTTGATGGTTTGTTGCAATCGTTGTGCTGTCGGACATAGAGGTGGTTCTAGACCAGGGGTAACCAATTAAAAATCAACGGGGTCTGAATACAGAAAATCCTCAAACAATAAAGGTCCAGAGACATTTTTAATTATAATCTGTTAAACAGAACTTGACAATGAAATAAAAAGATTTTAATGCATCTATGTTATACATTAGATTTTTAATAAAAAATATTTAAAAAAAATCTGAAGTGTTTTTTGAAGTAGAGAACAATCGTTCAGTTTGGTACATAGAAAATTTCCTGATTCACATATTTTTTTTACACCTGAATGGAGCTTTTGTTTTTGTTTTGTTTTTTCTTAATGTTGGCAGTGGGCTTCATGCTGCCCTGCAAGGCTTTAAACCTGGGTTTGAATGGAGACAAAGCCATTCTAAAGCACATATCAAGGAGCTCATTCTGAGCCTGGATCCAGATTTATTGTTGATTCTGTTCATGGTGGAGAATCCTGCTTCAAAGCAGCAGGTTGAGCCAGACATCCTCTAAATGTGCAGGGTCATCTTTGAGCACCATTTCACTTTTCTTTCACCAGTTCACCGCAGTTCCTCCAGCAGTCCACACTGTCTCTGCTCTTTTCTCGTCTTCTTCTTTCCCTTCGCCCGGCTTGCCACAGGTTTGCCTGCTGTGTCTAAAAGTAGCAGCAGCAGCAACCCAGACTGACAGCAGATCATTCACTAATATGGATCATGTGCAGCCTCGTGCCAGATAATCCGGAGGGCTTTACCACACAAACAGGAGAAGCCGGGCAAGTGAATTTAGACACTGTCGTCGGACAACATGCAGTCATTTATAAATGTACAGAGCCAGGTGCAGTTTCAGAGCTTCAGGTTGCAGACCCCTAGATGAAAACTGATTTATTTCAGTAGAAATGGAACAAATAATGAATCATATTTCTTTGCCTTGGACAAACGTCATTTTTTTTGTCAATGATAAATTGATTAAAAAAAATGACGCTTGTCCAAGACACCAATGAGTTGCAGTTTGTGTGCCAATGAATATAAGAGTATTGTTCATTTAGTACAGGGTCAGCACTAGTTCTACAGGACCCCATTAGCTTTTATCTAGAAACATCCAAGAATGGGAGACCTTTCTGTGTACAAGGGACCTCAAGCCAAAGCTAGTGCTATGGTGGAAATTATGAAAGAGGAGGAATACCTGCAAAGGCTTAAACTTTACACTAAACAATGGTTAAAACTTTGATACAGTCAGGGTTTCCAACAGGACAGGGATACCAAAAACACATCAAAACTGACATCTGAACAGAAAAACTAAGCAAAGACCAAAACCCTAATTAATATGTAAAAAGTTAAACATTTTTTCATGTCTTGGTATGGAAAAACAGACAAGCTTATTCAAATGGTATTTTTTTTCCCTGTCCCTTCCTGTGAAATAACCATTAAAGGTTTACGTACAAGAAAACATGGAGGGGCCCATTTAAGCACTCTGTGGTGCTCAATAAAACTGGAAGATTTACAGTCAGATACAATCAGTTGTTACTTTCTTAATCAAAATTTATTTAAACATGGACAGTTTATTGCACATAAAATTAATCATATAGTCTTAAAAGAACTAAGATCAATAAATAAACATTTGCTTCCGACAAACAGAGCAGCAGATACCAGAGCACAAACAGAACCTAAGGTATACCCTTAACTCTGGAGTTAAAAGAAAATACCACCATTTACTGTCTGTTTGGTTCAAATGATCCAAGTTAAAATTCTTCAATGAACAGATTTAAAACGGCTCTTAAAGACGGATTATTCCTATTAAAATGCACACAGGCTGAACAGGCTTGAAGTAGGTAAACGGAAACATTCATTATCATTGATTGGGATCTTGGCTAGCTTGGATTTAGTAAAAAGTTAGGATCCTTAAGGGTTAGTTGAGATAAAAAAAAAAACAAATATATATCTGCTTTCGTTTGCTGATAACAGACACAGTAGCATAAGTTACAAAGAAAAAAAGGGGGGAAAATAGGGATTCAACTAAATAAAAGTTTAAACTAACGTCACAATCACATTTAAACAAGGTGCATTAAAAACAGTGCTGAATTATTGGCAGTAAAGTTAATGACTTGCTTATTTTGAATATGTTGGCTCAGAAAAATGTGATTTCAATTACACAGTATTGGTCCTAGAGTACATTAGAACAGGTCAAATATAGAGGCACATTTTTTATATATGCAAAAACAGGTTAAAGGTTCACGGCTATAATTCCTAACCTGGATTTTTTACCACTTCTAAAAATCCAGATTCCTGCATATTTCGACTAAAAACCATTTCAATGTTTGTAACAGAGGCTTAAATATTAAAACCAGGATCAAGCTAAAGATTTTTCACTGCGACCGTAATAAAAAACTGATCACCTAAAGTAAAGTGACTGATCACCTAAACTTTAGGTCCTAAAGTAAAAACCATGTCTGAAAATATTTGCCGCACCTTTTTCCAAATCAATCTATAGAATGTCAATATTCCATTTAACTTTCAGATCCATCTTCCAAAACTTACTTCAGCTTTACAGTATGTAATGGCACAGCTTCCAGATAAAACCGATAAACGACTACCTCCTTCGGATGTAGTGTACAGGATGAGATTAAAATGAGTCAGTTTTAGTTTAAAAGTCTCAAACGGCAGTTCAGCTTGTTCAAAATCTATAAAGTTTGAGGATCCAGTTTAAACTTTGGCTGCAGAGCAAAGTTGAAGGCAGTCTGCTGAGGTCAAACATATTCTCTGCTCTCAATGTCCTTTTTTATCGCTTTTTTAATGCGGTCGATCTCATCTTCATCTGAGCTTTCATCATTTTTCTCACTTTTCTCTTTCTTTTCACTTTCCATCTTGGTCATTTCGCCATTTTTGTCATTTTCTGGCGTGGTGGTCTGCAGCTCTTCTCGTATGGTGTTGAGCTCCACCAGGCCGTCGTGCAGCTGCGTGGCCACCTCTCTGATTTTGGCAGCGAACTCTGATTTCGCCCCTTTCTTTAGCTCTTTAGAGTCTTTAGCCACAAAGTAGATGTCCATGCCGACAAAGAGCCCCGTGAGCACGCCAGTGGCCATACTGGCGATCTGGACCGCTCTGGCTGCGGTGCTGCCCGCTACGTTGGCGATCTGCACCACGCGCATGATCTCGTTGGCATTGATGAGGATTGCCTTCCCTGCCATGGCTCCATCTTCGTAAAACTGACTGGTGAGTGCGGGAAAGTCCTGGTTGTACGCGTTCTTCTTCATCTTGAGGAGGTCGAATCTGCGCAGGTTCTCTATTCCCTGCTTGATAAACTTCAGGCACTTATTAAGGTCAGCGATCTTCTCTTGGTAGTCCTCTACGATCTTCTCCACCTTCTTGCGGTCCAAAGAGTTGTTGACCTGGTTTGAGATGCCGGCACCAGCTGAGGTTAAGCCACCTGCCGTAGCGACGCCAAGACCTACAGCTGTGACGATAAGGGAGGTTCCCATGGTGACCGGAGCCAAGGCCAGGCCAGTGATGGTTGCGACGCCTCCAATGGCGCTGGTGGAGCCGCCAGTGATCTGAGCGATCTTTGTCTTCTTGTTGAATTTGTCCAAGCCGTCGGCGATGGCGTTGAGGTCGATGACGTGCTGCCAGAGGGTCTCTGCGCGCTCAGAGAACAGCTTGTTGAAGACTCGGATACCCTTCTGGACCTTTTCTGCAGTTACAGCAAAGGCCCTGAGACAGAAAAAAAAAAAAAATAGGATTACTATTAAGAGCACCGGTCAATTTTATACTGTTTAAGTTTTAATAAATCTATGGAAACGAGCACATCCAAAACATTTTGAAAAAAGGTTTTATGTTTCATTAAGGATTTAAGGATTAAAATAATCTATAGAGATTAGATTTAGACAACTTTGATTGAAATTTCGTTTTTACAGCTTTTAGCCAGTAGGGTTTCAAAATCTTTAAATCTTCAAACACATTTTAATGCATTTATGATATGCAAATAAACCCAATGATTCAAAATGTGATTGATGATGAATCAGATTTAGAATTTTTCTC